GAAACTAATCAAGGAGAGAAGCAACCTAGAACTAAGGAGAAACTTCCTGACAGTTAGAACAATTAACCAGTGGAACAACCTGCCTCCAGAAGCGGTGAATGCTCCAACACTGGAAGTTTTTAAGAAGAGACTGGACAGCCATTTGTCCGAAATGGTATAGGGTTTCCTGCCTGAGCAGGGGGTTGGACTAGATGACCTCTAAGGTCCCTTCCAACTTTTATTATTATTATTATTAGTAGTAGTAGTGGTATTAGTAGTAGTATTATTATTAGTATCATCATCATCATCATCATCATTATCATTGATCTTTTGGGGAAATTCAGACTAAATGTATGTGCTCAAATTTAGTGTCTTTCAAAGTCAGGAATTCCAGCATTATACACAGACCCTTTCCTACAGTGTATCTCCTAACTACCTATTCCTCAACTAAATCTTCCCTGGATTAATATAAAGTAATAATAGATAATTTTTGTATCTTTCTCCATAATTTATTTCTTCTCATGCTCTAATAAGTACTTTCTTGTTTTTCTTTTCTTCACAAAAGCTTGGATTGGAAGATACAACAAGATATCTAGACAAAATGAAACTGATTTGGCAGTATGAAGAGACCAAAAAAAGGTGAATATGTTAAAGTGCTATTTTTAATGTGGCAAATAATCTATTAGTAAGTTTTACCTTGGTTGGGGTTTTGAATATGTGTGACCAGATATTTAGCATAGTTTAATAATCTGAAGAACCACTAAGTAACTATCCAATATTGCACATTTAAGATTAGGCAAATTTTAAAAGTTATATAAAAAGAAATGCATAAAAGAAATTACATTCTAAGTCTTTGGTTTGGCAAAATATTTATGTTATAAAGAAAAAAAATACTTAAATAAATACGATATTAAAGTGATATTATGAATTGCTTTATATTTTGGCTATAGCTTTTGAGGTAACATCTCTATAGGTCTTGATAGATGAAATAAAAAAGAGCTAATCAAGTTGTAATGAGGGAGTGTGAAAATCACATATCACAAACCAAAAAATATATGTCCTTGCTGGACATGGATAGACATGATATAGGCACCAGTTATATTTCATTGAGGGGATGTGATGGTTCAGTGGTTAAAGACGCTGAGCTTGTCAGCTGGAAATCTGATAGCCTGGGTTCGAGACCTGAGTACCATATAATGGGTGAGCTCCTGTTCCTGCCCCAGCTCTTGCCCACTTACAGTGAGGGGAAAAATTATTTGACCCCCTGCTGATTTTGTACGTTTGCCCACTGATAAAGAAATGATCGGTCTCTAATTTTAATGGTAGGTTTATTTTAACAGTGAGAGACAGAATAACAACAAAAAAAATCCAGAAAAATGCATTTCAAATAAATTATCAATTGATTTGCATTTTAATGACTGAAATAAGGATTTGACGCCTTCGCAAAACATGATTTAGTATTTGTTGGCAAAACCCTTGTTGGCAATCACAGAGGTCAGACGTTTCTTGTAGTTGGCCATCAGGTTTGCACACATCTCAGGAGGAATTTTATCCCACTCCTCTTTGCAGATCCTCTCCAAGTCATTAAGGTTTCGAGGCTGACGTTTGGCAACTCGAACCTTCAGCTCCCTCCACAGATTTTCTATGGGATTAAGGTCTGGAGACTGGCTAGGCCACTCCAGGACCTTAATGTGCTTCTTCTAGAACCACTCCTTTGTTGCCTTGGCCGTGTGTTTTGGGTCATTGTCATGCTGGAATATCCATCCATGATCCATTTTCAATGCCCTGGCTGAGGGAAGGAGATCCTTACCCAAGATTTGATGGTACATGGCCCCGTCCATTGTCCCTTTGATGCGGTGAAGTTGTCCTGTCCCCTTAGCAAAAAAACACCCCCAAAACATAATGTTTCCACCTCCATGTTTGACGGTGGGGATGGTGTTCTTGGCGTCAAAGGCAGTATTCCTCCTCCTCCTAACACGATGAGTTGAGTTGATGCCAAAGATCTCAATTTTGGTCTCATCTGACCACAACACTTTTACCCAGTTATCCTCTAAATCATTCAGATGTTCATTGGCAAACTTCAGACGGGCCTGGACATGTGCTTTCTTGATCAGGGGGACCTTGCGGGCGCTGCAGGATTTCAATCCTTCACGGCGTAGTGTGTTACCAATTGTTTTCTTGGTGACTATGGTCCCAGTTGCCTTGAGATCATTGACAAGACCCTCCTGTGTAATTCTGAGCCAATTCCTCACGGTTCTTATGATCATTGAACCTCCACAAGGTGAGATCTTGCATGGAGCCCCAGACCGAGGGAGATTGACAGTTATTTTGTGTTTCTTCCATTTGTGAATAATCACACTAATTGGTGTCACTTTCTCACCAAGCTGCTTGGCAATAGTCTTGTAGCCCATTCCAGCCTTGTGTAGGTCTACAATCTTGTCCCTGACATCCTTGGACACTCTTTGGTCTTGGCCATGGTGGAAAGTTTGGAATCTGATTGATTGATTGCTTCTGTGGGCAGGTGTCTTTTATACAGGTAACAAGCTGAGATTAGGAGCACTCCTAGAGAGTGCTTCTAATCTCAGCTTGTTACCTGTATAAAAAACAGGAGCCAGAAATCTTGCTGATTGATAGCGGATCAAATACTTATTTCACTCATTCAAATGCAAATCAATTTATAACTTTTTTGAAATGCGTTTTTCTGGATTTTTTTGTTGTTATTCTGTCTCTCACTGTTAAAATAAAGCTACCTGTCATGGTTCCAATAGATGAGACCAGTAGGAATAAGAACTCTGAGGCAATTGCTTTCCTCAAAGAACCCTTTTAATGGCTACATAGTATTGGCACATACAAAGGTGAAACCAAGACTGAAAGATTCCCCCCTCAAGGTTACAAGGTAACAAGTTGAACTTCCCACCCCTGTAATATGTCATAAATCACAATCCCCAATTAACTACTTTGGCAGGCTTTCTAACGGAAGTCCCAGCCCACCAAAACCTAGGTACCTTGACCTTGGTTCCCACAAGAAAGTTATTGTTACGACTAAATCTGAAGACTGCATCTCCCCCCTCCCATTGCTGTGGCAACCAAAAACGAAGTGAAAATGGCTGCAGCCAAAATCATTTGAAGGTTTGACAGTTGGATCCTCTAAAGAAGAGAAATCCTGTAGGTAAAAAAGGAATTAGAGTCAGGAATCACCCCTAGGCTTATTCAGATGCTTATCATGACATTTACGTATTAATCTATCAGCTTTTACATCAGCACTTTTTACCCAGGTGGCCTCTGATAGTGGGTACCCTTTCCACTGCACTAGATACTGTAACTTTCCCTTGTACAACCTTGAATCAAGGATTAGTTTTATTTCATAGTGAGTTTCTCCCTCCATGACAAGGGGACCAGGTGCCTGCTTGGGAGGAGGTCTTAATGAGGACTCTGTGTATGGCTTCAATAGGCTGCAGTGGAACACAAGTGACCTTTCCCTAAAAGGGGAGGGAGCTTTAATTCCACGGTGACTGGGTTTATAATCTGCACTATGGGGAAGGTTCCAAGGAATTTTGGTCCCAATTTTTTACTAGGAAGCTTGAGTCTTAGATATTTTGTAGAAAGGTAAACCTTTTCACCCACACAAAATGGCCTCTGGGGGGCCCCTTCTCTTGTCTTCCTATTCTTTGTAGATTTTTGTGGCTTTTGTTAGAGCCTCTTTCTCATTATCCCACACGGTTTTCCAAGAAGTCACCCATTGATCTAAAGTTCGAGAAACAGGAGAGTCCTGAGATCATTCAGGCATGGGAATGAATTCCCTACCAGTAGGTATTTTAAAAGGAGTGAGTCCAGTGCTGCTATGTACTGTGTTATTGTAAGCCACCTCAGCAAAGGGAAGGAGGTCAGCCCATGTTTGTTAGTAATCAACATAACACCTAATATATTGTTCCACCATAGAGTTAGCTTTTTCAGCAGCTCCATTAGTAGATGGATGAAAAGCCGATGACAAACCTTGCGTGGACCCAATCAGTTTCAGAAAGTCTCTCCAGAACTTGGCAGTGAATTGCACCCCCCCATCTGAAATAATCCGCTTTGGAGTTCCATGGAGTCGGTAGATATGTTTGAGAAACATTCTTGCCAGCTTCTTTACGGAGGGAAGACTGGTGTAGGCAATGAAGTGAGCTTGCTTAGAAAAAAGGTCAATCACAATCCATATTACCATATTTCCGCTACTTTCCAGTAATTCCACAATAAAATCCATGGCAGTTTCTTCCCAGGGTTGGGAAGGGTCTGGGACTCGCTGCAATAATCCAGGGGGCTTACCTGGATGTTCTTTCATTGTTGCAAAGTCGCATAGCTTTTCACATAATTCTCAACGTCTTTCTTTAGCCCTGGCCACCAAAACTGCCATCGAAGTAGATTTTAGGTTTTTAGGTAGCTAAAGTGGCCTGCTTGTTTGCTATCATGGCTGCGTTGAAGGGACTGAACTCTGAGGGTTTCTGGTAGATACAGTTTCGACCCCTTCCAAGCCAACCCGTCCCAACAAGTCAGTATGGTTTTATTTGCCAGGAACAAGGAATCGGTTTTCAACTCCTCCTTTAGCCTCTTTGTTAATGGGCTATCAGGTCCAGTCGATTTTGTCTGTGATGGCCCCCCTATTGTTACTTGAGAGATCGACTCTGGTTGTGGAATAATGGAGTTCACAATCTCCTCTCAACAGCTTTTGTATTGGGGCAATTTGGATAGGGTGTCAGCTAGGAAATTGAAATGGTTAAAGTATTGCGCCCACCGAACTTGTTTAGGAGATAACTTACGGGGAGTTTTCAGTACCTCTACATTTTTGTGATCAGTCCATACTTCAAAAGGCAGGTCGTTCCCTTCAAGGAAATGACGCCATGTAAGCAGAGCCCACTCACCATGAAAGCCTCTTTCTCCCAGACTGCCCACCTTCATTCAGTGTCCGTTAATTTTTTGGAGGTGTAGGCATAGGGCTGCAAATCCCCACTCTCATTCTTCTGCAAAAGAACGGCTCCTACTGCCACATCGCTGGCATCAGCCTGGATGATGAATTGTTTTTCAGGATTGGGATGTTTAAGAATGGGTTCTGCTGCAAACAGTCTCTTTAAGTTCTCAAAAGCAGTCTGGCATTCTATGGACCATGGCAGGGTCGTGGCTTCCTCCTGTTTTTCCCCGTTTTTAACAGTTCAGTAATCGGCAAAGCAATCTCGGCAAAGGAGGAGATAAATTGCCAGAGAAGTTTGTGAATCCCAAAAAACCAGAGTTTTGCTTACAGGTCTGAGGAGGCTGCCATTCTAGCACAGTTTTCACCTTAGCTGGATCCATCTCAATACCTTCACTGGAAATCCTATATCCTAGGTAATCCAGACGTGCCTGATGGAACTCACATTTTGAGAACTTAGCATAAAGTTTAGCGCTCAGCAGTTTTCTGAGCACTTCACATACTAATTTGACATGCTCTACCATGGTCTCTGTGTAGATTAGGATGTCGTCAAGGTAAACTAAACCCCCTTGTACAGGTGACTATGCAGTACTTGATTTATCAATTGCATGAACGCAGCAGGGGCTCCCTGCAGGCCAAAAGGCATGACATTGAGCTGGAAACTCCCCAAGGGACTGTTAAAAGCCGTTTTCCACTT